GTGGGAACACAAACTAATATATTCCTTTTGGAAAGATGTTTAGAGAACACTTATAGATCTAAAAATAGACCTGCCATTCAATCCTATAATTCCTCTACTAGGTATATATCCAAAAGACCAAAAATCACATTATAACAAAGATATATGTACCAGAATGTTTACTGCAGCCCAATTCATAATTGCTAAGTCATGAAAGAAGCCCAAGTGCCCATCAACCCATGAATGGATGAATAAATTGTGGTATATGTACACCATGGAATATTATGCAGCCTTAAAGAAAGATGGATACTTTACCTCTTACATGTTTACATGGATGGAGCTGGGACATATTCTTCTTAGCAAAGTTACCTCAAGAATGGAAGAAAAAGTATCCAATGTACTCAGTCTTACTATGAAACCAATTTATAACTTTCATATGAAAGCTATAACCCAATTATAGCCCAAGAAGAAGGGGAAAAGGGAGAAGGAGGGGAGGGGAGAGGATGGGTCGAGGGAGAGTAATTAGTGGAACCACATCTACAGTGCATCTTACAAGAGTACATGGGAGATTCACTAAGTGTATAATATAAATGTCTTCACACAATAACTAAGAAAATGCCGTGAAGGCTATGTTAATCAGTTTGATGACACTATTTCAAATTGTATGTAAAACCAGCACATTGTACTCCCTGACTGCATTAATGAACACAGCTATAATTAAAAAAATATCCTAATACAGGCTAAGAAGGAACATATATCCTCGGGAGTAGAAACATACAGCCCCCAAACACTCCACAATTCTAAATCTCTTGTACTTAATCTCAAAATGTAATGCTCTTAAGATAAGCCTTATTTATTCTATGTCTTTGCATACCTCTTGATACATAACCATGTACTCTCAGTAATGTGACCCAGACTGAAAGGCACTGACTTAAACCAATGTTTGTCTATCTGAAAAATATTTTCCTAAATTATAGTACTGGAATAATTTCATTTTATAATGCCTAGGGCACAGAGAAATGAAAACTACTGATATTTGTTGAGTAGTAAGTATGTAGAAGGCATTAAATTTTGTTTTTATATTTAAAAAAACTCAATTTCCAGAATTTAAATATTGTCATGCCTATTATAAGAAGGAACTGAGACACACAAAAATTAAAATAGCTATCCTGGGATAATATAGTTAGTAAGTTTGGCTACTTTATACCCAGTTCTCTACTACATCACAACTTCATCAATATTTTATTTTTATAGAAATTTCCTACTCTGACCTTACTTTTCAAGAATTTAACAGAGGTACACTATGATTAGCCCAACAGCCACTACTGTCCAAAAAGAAACTCTTGACTTGTTCTAGAGCTGTAAGACTAATCAATAATGGGGGGTGTAAGACTGTTTATATTTAAAAAAAACACAAAATATAGCCATTAAATTTAGCCAATTCCTAGGTCCTAGTAACATTTGGCACTGCAAATAGGATAGGCTATACATTTCATACACAATTTCATATACAACTGTATATCTAACCCAAAAGGGCAGCGGGAGGTAACAGAGGGAACACAGGACCAAAAATTACACAGAAAAGTCCTAATTTTCATTAGCTTCCATCACTAGTTGCATGACCCTGAGTAAGTCACTTGCCTCTCTAGGACTTTTATTTACCATATGAAGGTAGGTGCTAGCATGTTTTTAAGTTTCCTTCCATTCATAAGGTTTTATATTTTTATAATTTTGCAGGGGGTTTTTTGGCCAGGGCTGGGTTTGAACCCACCACCTCCGGTATATGGGGCCAGCACCCTACTCCTTTGAGCCATAGGCACCGCCTTATATTTTTATAATTTTGCTGCCCATTCATTTCTCTTTTGTGCTTAAATTTCCATTACTCTCAATTAGTATATTTTTACAAGCATTATCTCAAGTAATTTTTTAATCAGAATATGTATATACTCAACTATCAGTCTTGTTCTTTTCTTCTTAAAATACTCCTTCAGTCCTTGCTCTCGAACCATTTTCATCTTACAATCACGTTGAACATAACAAAACTGCCCAATAAAAACTGCTGCATAATGGTAAGTTCACTCTAAGCTCTACTGTCCAAATGCTTATTGATGACAGCTACTACTTCATTGTATTTGTTTTTTAAAATGTTTGATGATTTCAACAATAACAAAAAAAGTCCTAGACCAGATGGCTTCACACAAGAATTCTATCAAATCTTCAAAGAGCTTGTACCTATACTGCAGAACCTACTTCAAACACTGAGAAGGAAGCTTCCCCAACACATTTTATGAAGCAAATATCACCCTGATACCCAAGCCAGGAAAGGACATAAGTAAAAATAAGAACTACAGACCAGTTTCACTAAGAAGTATCAATGCAAAAATATTCAATAACATATTAACTAATAGATGACAACCATACATTAAAAAAATTATATATCATGAGCAAATCAAACATCTGCAAACCCATAAATGCAATTCACCATATCAACAGAAGCAAAACAAAGACCACATGATCCTCTTAATAGATGCAGAAAGAGCATTTGATAAAATTCAACACCTTTTCTAACAAGAACACTTAATATAGGCATAGGTGACACATTTCTTAAACTGACTGAACGTATCTATGACAAACCCACAGCTAATATCACACTGAATGGAGTAAAACTGAAATCTTTTCCACTTAGAACTGGAACCATACAAGATTGTCCTCTACTGGCATTAGTATTCAACATAGTGCTGAAAGTTCTAGCCAATGTAATCAGGTAGGATATTAAGGGCATCCAAATGGGGTAGAGGAGGTTAAACACTCTCTTTTTGCCAATGATATAATCTTATACCTAGAAAACCCCAGAGACTCAACCATAAGACTCTGGGAAATAATCAAGATTCAGTAACATTTCAGGGTGCAAAGGCAATGTCCACAAATTAGTAGCCTTCATATATGCCAATAACAATCAAGATGAGAAGCTAATCAAGGACACAATACCCTTCACAGTAGATTCAAAGAAAATGAATACCTGGGAATATACCTCGTAAAAGAGGTGAAAATGAATACCTCTCTACAAAGAGTTATAAAACCTTAAGAAAAGAAACAGTAGAAGACACTAACAAATCCAAGAACATATTATGCTATTGGCTGGAATGGAAGAATCAACACTGTTAAAATGTCTATATTATCCAAAGCAACCTGCAGATTCAATGCAATCCCTATTAAAATACCAACATCATACTTTGAAGAACTGGAAAAAATACTTTCTTGTTTTGTATAGAACCAAAAAAAAACCTGTATAGCCAAGCCTATTCTTAGTAATAAAAATAATGCCAGGGTGGTGCCTGTGGCTCAAAGGAGTAGGGCACCAGCCCCATATGCCAGAGGTGGTGGGTTCAAACCCAGCCCTGGCCAAAAAACTGCAAAAAAAAAAAAACCACAAAAAAACACCACCAAAGGCATCACTTTATCAGACTTTCGGCTGTACTACAAGTCCACAATGATCAAAATAGCATAATGACACAAAAAGAGAGACATAAACATATGAAACAGAATAGAAAACTAAGAGATGAAGCCAGTCTTTCATTGCCATTTGATCTCTGATAAGCCAGACAAAGGCATACACCAACACTGAGGAAAAGAATCCCCATTCAATAAATGGTGCTGGAAGAACTGGATAACTACATGTAGAAGACAAGCTGGACTCATATCTTTCACCACTTACAAAAATTGACTCAAAATGGATAAAGGATTTAAATCTAAGATGTGAAATGATAAAAATCCTAGAAGAAAGTGTGGGAAAAACTCTTGAGGATGTTGGCCTGAGGAAAGATTTTATGAAGAAGACTTCAGTGGCAATCGTAACAATATCAAAAGTAAGCAAATGGGACTTCATTAAGCTGAAAAGCTTCTGCACAGCTAAGGACTCAGCAATTAAAGCAAATAGACAACCTTCAGAATGGGAAAAGGTATTTGCATGCTATAAATCTGACAAAGGGTTGATAACCAGAATCTATAGAGAACTCAAATGAATCAACAACAACAACAAAAAAAGCCAATAATCCCATCTATCACTGAGCAAGAGATGAACAGCACTTTTCTGAGGAAGACAGACGAATGGCTAACAAACATAATGAAAAATGATCATTGTCCCTAACATTAAGAGAAATACAAATCAAAACCAGCCTGAGACATCACCTAACCCTAGTGAGGACAGCCCACATCATAAAGTCCCAAAGTTGCAGATGCTGGCACAGATATGGAGGGAAGAGAACACTTTTACAGTATTGGTGGGGCCTGCAAAATAATAAGACCTCTTTAGAAAGTACAGAGAATCCTCAAAGAGTTCAAGTTAGACCTTCCATTTGATCCTGCAAACCCATTACTAGCCATCTACCCAGAAGAAAAAAAATCATTTTATTATAAGGACATTTGCACTCGACTGTTTATTGTAGCTCAATTTACAATTACTAAGATGTGGAAAAAACCTAAATGCGTACCAATCCAGAAATGGATTAACAAGCTGTGGTATACGTATGCCATTGAATACTATTCAGCCATAAAAAGATGGGAGACTTTACATCTTTTGTATTAACCTGGATGGAGTTAAAACACATTTTTCTTAGTAAAGCATCACGGGCATGGAAAAGCAAGTATCCAATGTATTCATACAAATATGAAGCCAGTAGATGGTCATACATGCCTGCATAAGAGAAAAACTCAATCCAATTCAAGTTGGGGGTAGGGGGAATGAGGGAGAGGAGAGGGGAATTAGTGTGCTCCCACTTAATAGGCATAATGTAAGGGTATATGTCATATCTCTTGGGTATGGGACAAAACTACAAGAAGAATGCCACCTAACAAACGCAAACATTATAGCCTAGTTGTTTGTACCCTCCCATTAGCCTAAAATTAAAATACATAAATAAATAAAATAAAATGTTTGATTTGACGCATGTATTTAAGCTTAAATTATATTTAACGCAAATATTTAAGTGTATTAAAAGCCATAGATAAACTGTGCTACTAACCATCTTCCAGTCTGATTTGTAATTTGCTCTTCTGATTTTTGTAGCTCCAATGTATAAGCCATTATCCGTGCACTGCACACCATGAGATTCTTAACTGCATGTAAAATCTGGTCTTTTTGAGTGCTCAGAGAAAGAAGTTTCCATATTCCCTCTCGTATTCGAATTTCTAAGTCTATTTTTTCTTGAATGCTGCAGCCCTAGAAAAAAGAGAAAAGGATTCTAAAAATACAGCAAATATTTAGAATTACATTTTTTTATCCCCAATAGATGAAAAATGTACGGAATATCATTATATCCTATACCATATTGGAAAAGCAACACAGGTTTAATATACAATACTATAAAAATATAGCTTTTGAAAATACTCTGCAAAATCTTAATTTTTGCTTTATTAGGAAATCTTTAAAATCTACTGGATAAACAATATAGAAACGAAGGTAAGAAACATTGTGTTCTCACCATAACTACTAGGTTTAATAGTGTCCCCAAATTCACATCTATCAAGAACCTCAGAATGTACCCTTACTTGGGTATATGGTTTTATAATGTAATTAGGTAAAATGAGAACATACAGATTAGAGTGGGCCCTAAATCCAAAAACTTGTGTCTTTAAAGGAAGGTCACATGAAGACACAGAGAGACACATAAAGAGAAAATGTCATGTGAAGACAGACTAAGCCTATAAAGTAAGGAATACCAAGGATTGATGGCAATAAATAAACAGAATTTAGAAAAGGCAAGGAAGGATTCATCCCTGATGCCTTCAGAGGGAGCACGGCCCTGCTAATATCTTGATTGCAGACATCTGACCACCAGAACTATGAGACAATAAATTTCTGTGGTTTTAAGCCACCCAGTCTTGATCATTTGTTATAGCAGCCCTAGAAGACATAGGAATTCTGACAATTAAGTTTGTGAACTCATCCGAGAGAAAATGATATATACTTCATTGCTAAATATCACTATGGTCACCTTCAAAGTACTTTCCTCAAGAAGCTATGTACCAATGCCAGGGCCTAGTCCACCCTTCAAAGCAATTTTGGAACTCTTTTTTTGAAATGGCCATCAAAACTGTCATCATATTATCCTTGAGGTCCTGAATATCATCTAAATGTCTTCCTTTGAACATTTCCTTTATATTTGGGTAAAGAAAAAAGTCACTGGGAGTCAGATCAGGTGAGTAAGGAGAGTGTTCCAATACAATTATTTGTTTACTGGCTAAAAACTCCCTCACAGACAGAGCTGTGAGTTGGTGCACTGCTGTGATGTAAGAGTCATGAGTGATTGGCCAAGATTTTCAGTGAAGATTTTCTTGTTTCTCTATCAATGTTTACTTGGTCTACTACACTTCTCACATTTAGCCAACAATTTTGATGCACAAAATGAATTGATAAATTTTTACAATATTTTTGTCAGTTCTGCCTGTTACTGGATGCCCTCATCTCTTTTCATTAGTGACTCTTTCTCTCCCCTCAGAAAAATGTTCAATCCATTTGCACACTACCATTTTCTTCATGACATTATCCCCATAAACTTGGACTAATATGTCCCTGATTTCACTTCCACTCTTGCCAAGTTTAACAAGAAAATTTAATGTTTTTATGTTTGTTCATGGCTCTAATTCAAGCTGACATTCTTGTGCCAGCACACAAAAACAGACAACAACACTCAGCAAGACACCATCATGGGTTGACACACACGCGGCTGTGAGATGCTGATGTACATGTTTATCAAACCTTACCATTTGTACAGTACTGTCAAGGCATGTGCACAGTGGCAAGTTTGTGAACTTAACTGCCAGACCTCATACAATAACTCATCTAAACAATATACCACACACGTATAAGTTACATTATGGCATGGCAAGACATGGTTGATGACACTGAATTAATTAATAAGGAAAAATTTTCTGAAAGATCAGATGCTGAGTAAAGGAACCAAGGTTTAGGAGCAGTAGGTAAGGGAGAACATAACAAGCTACTTGTCATGGTAAATGGTATAAATGAAATATCAGAAGCAAGAAAATGAAAGCACTGTACTTGGAAAATGTCAGAAGACTTAGCTACCTGAAACAGGGATTTAGAATATAGTTCTGGACATTATTATTTATTTTAGTTTTAAGATTCACCATGAAACTACTGAATATTTTAGTTTTGAAAGTCTTTTATTTCATATAATAATCATATTATGGCCTGCTTCTATTAACACAAGTTTCATATGGATCATTAAATTTTAGCTTGTATGGTAAAAAATCAACACAATAATTTACCAAAATATAAATTAAAAAATGTGAATGGAATCTAATAACAAAATTTCCGGTTATTAACAAAATTTCCGGTTATTAAAAAGACAATCTTTTTAAAAAGAAAAGACAATGAAAGTTAGAAGAACTAATAGTCTATGAAGATTATCCAAAATGAGAAAACACAGTAGACAATTTAACTTGACTGTACAAATCAATCAACTGTACTATTCACACAAGACAACAGATCTGTTTAATTACCTTCTGTAAGTACATCATGTAATTACCACATAAAACCCTTCTCTTATAGTGTTGTAACTCAAAACCAGCATACTATATAAATGCAGTCATTTGATGGTTGTCCTTTATACATGACTGAATTTTAACAACTCCATTTCATCTTCTTATAATTTGTCAACCCCAAAGTAAATTCTTCTGTAAGGTCATTAGCAATTAATTATAATAATTGTCTATGTGACCCATATGTCTAGAGAAATAAACTCTAGCAGACTGGTTAGTATTGGAGTATGAACACAGAGCAACTTAAAGCTGGGATGAATAGCTTTACCCCACAAGGCAAATATAAACAAATACCTTCTGGTGCCACTAAATTCAATTTTGCTTTTTGAATGCTACAAGGAGGGAGTCAGTTGATCCATCAGAGAGGTTCTCAATGCTGGCTGCACATTAGAATATTCTGAGGCAGAGAGGAAGGGCCTTATAAAAGTACCTAACCCTGTGATCTACCCTAAGCCAATTATGATCTCTAGAGGTGGGGCTCAGCATTTTTAAAAAGCTCTCTTATTTTTTAATGCATAGTTAGGATAAACACTACAAGACTGAAATTCCACAGCAATCTTGAAAGTTGCAACAACATTAAGGAACCAGCAGGTGGCCACAGCCACATTAAAGAATGAGTTTGGGCTTCTAGGGTTTCCATCCTATAAACAAAGATAATCTTCTCTCCATCACTTAAAGAATGACTCCATAAAATTACAGAGGCTCGGGAAAAAAATGGAGAAAGGAAAGGTAAAGTCAGAGTTTTTAAAAAAAAATTTATCATTGTAAAGATTAAAGATGGTGTAAGATTAAATTAAAATTCATTAAGAAAATAAGGTGTGTCTTACAGATATTACTATTAGAATTTTACTCTTTAGAGCTGGGGTCAGCAAACTACAGCCTGACTGGCACCTGTGTTTGTAAATGAAGTAATGCTGGAGCACAGCCACACCCATTTGTATTGTCTTCGGCTGCTTTAAAGCTACAACAGCAATTGACAACTTCAACAGAGACTGAATGACCCACAAAGCTGAAAATATTTTCTATCTGGCCCTTGACAGAAATGGTTTGCTGACTCCTAACTCAGCCAAATTAACATGCATAGTAAACTTTTACTCTTTCCCTTGCTGAGGCAGGTCTCAGGCAAACGTCAATTAAGTGGATCTGAAGGGCTGATCCAAGCAGGATGAATTGTTAAGTGTGTATATGGTTTTGAATGTTGCATACAATTTCTTTTAGTACATATCTAAACTTTACAAGCAGAAAACACTTCTTTGTCAAGCAAAACTCTAGCTTTAGCCTCGAACAGGTTTATGGAACCAAAGGATTTGTGTTAACAAGGGTACAGAGTGCACTGAGAGTAAGAGCTGAGGGCTAGTGCTTTCTACAGTGAGAGGAATCAACCTGTAACAAGGGCACACCACTGAACATTCAATAGTGATGTCTACTGATGTCAAAGAGGAACAGTAAGGAGCTAAAGTCATCAATGTTGCTACCTTAGCTATAATAGCTTGGCCAGGTAGCGTCAAGGACCAATGGCAAAAGCATGTCTCCCTGTATCCCTTTCCTCTTAAGAGTGTCTGAATGTAAGTCAAGAAGAACAGAGACTGGGGCAGAGCCCTCCTATTTCTCCTTCAATTTTCTGAATAAAGGTTTGACTGTAATCAAGTCAAATAGAAGCCTATGTCACTGATCCCCTAAGTGCTTAAAAGCCATGCAGATAAAAGTAATTGACAAAGCTACAAATGAAATAAACAAAGACACCTTAAAAGTAGCAATCTAAAACTAGATAATGTAGAAAACAGAAACCTCTAGCTTTTAAGAGTTAGACTAGTAGAAACAAAATGCAAGGAAAATGACTTCGTTGTTCGTATTAAGAACTGACTAAAAAAATAAATTGAAGTTGAAATGCTGGTAAAATAACTATAGTAGTCCACAGAGAAACTGTCATCCACCTAATAGATATAATTTAAGGTGTGTTATCTAAAAGACAAAGGTGAAGATGAAGAAAAAGATCTCAGAAGAGTATATACAGTATGATCTCATTTTTCTAAAAGAAACTATGTATTTTATGAATTATTTCTGTACATCAAAAAAGTCTAGAAATTATTAACAGTGGCCATTCTAGGAAATTGAATTGGAAAGCAAACCCTTAAATTCCTATTTCTGTATACAACTAACCTTTTTGCAAAGATGGTAGTACTTCTTGTATTTTTATTAAAATGTCAAAAGTTTAAACATTTGTAAGAAAAGGCAGGTGACTGGCCCAACTACTCAGATGAATAGGACAAGAGGTAATAACAAGAACAGTCAACTCCCAAGCCACTCTGAATTCCAGGCCCTGTGTGTTATGTACTTTAGAGAAGTTCTCAAATTCCAACAACTTTCTGGGATACGCACTACACCCATTCTACAACCGTAGAAACTGAGACTTGGAAAAGACAGGTAACTTATTCGAGGCTGAGAAACAAGCAGAGTTGGATATGACCTGAATCTGACTCCAAAGCCAACGTTCTATACTGTGAGGAGTCACACAGGACTCCAAGGTTTCAGGAGAGGTGTGTCTGATAGTGTATGATCACCTCAAAAATCTTTGGCCTTATCTCTATTAGATGGCAGCTTCATTCATATCAAAGGAAGTACACCAAATAAAAATTCAGTGTTAGTTAAGTATAAAATTTTCTTACTGACCCTCAATATTCCTATTAGGTTGCAATCTATTACAATTTTGTGATTTTTTGCCAAGATCCAAATAAAAGAAGTTGATACCGTATTTCAGTTATTTTGACTTGGTATCTTTATTTACATATCTTTAACATTTATTTTCATTCCATGCAGTTAAACTTCTTTCATGTCTTTTCTTATCATTCCTAAATACTAGTGCAGCACTCAACTCAATGGGGCCTTGCATTTTCTTTGCACGAGGCTAGTTCTTCAAACCTAGTAGTTTTCTGTTTTCAGCACAATTCAAAAAAAATTACTGACAAAGGCACTGGTATACTGGACTTCTTTTCTGGAATGAATCTTACTGTCTTGCTTTACTTGTCACTGTATCATTGAAGATTTCCTAACAATTTTATATCTGCTGAGGAAATTCCAGATTTCTAAACAAAGACTAAGTGGCTCCATAGGAAACTGCAAATATTCCACCCATTTTGACCCACAAAACTGGTCATTTCATTTCATGTGGCTTAATCTACTTCAGAAGTAGGTAAAAGAAGGCGGGGATTAAAAGGAAAGTAAAGAGCTTGAAGACATCAGAGTTTTCTTTTAAGACCCTAAAGTTATGGTTGAGAGAGGAAAATATAACAGTTCAGTAAGAAGTAATGTTGTCTATGAAAAGCAAAAAGGTTTCTAACTGACATTTTCCATGACTTAAAAGTATACAACAAACTTCTATTCAAAATGTCCTCTCTCTTTTCCTTCCAATTACTTGGGAAAGAATCCATTATCAAAGCTTCAAGTTTTTTTTATCAGTTCAGAGGTTGCAGTTTGCCTTTCCACCCCGCCCCTCGCAACAGTTTATGTTGTCTGTAGACATAACTGTACTTTACATTTAATCTAGAAGTAAGTCGACTGTCCTCCACGGCCTCGCAGGCTTCCTTGGAAAGCCATTCCCCCCCTCCCCCGCATCACTTACACTTGCAAAAAGACTGGCGTCCAAACCCCGGGCTGGGGAGGGTAGCACATAGGTGCGCCCGCAAATGTGCGGCGGGACTCTGGCATCGCTTTCCCATTTCGGGCCTCAGTTTCCTCCCGAAGAAATGAGAGGTGCATGTGTCCGAGACCTTTAGGGCCCCAAGAGTGCAGCCCCCTGGTTCCTCCCTTTGTTTCTGGCCATGGCTGAATTCGAGACGCAGAGGGGAGGCTTTCCAGACAGCTAGACACAACCAAGGGAGAAAAGAAGCCGAGGCCCATCTCCGTCCACGCCGGGCCCCTCCTCACTCACCTGCTGGGTGGGAAGCCCGGCCTGGGCGAGCTCGGGCCCCCTCAGGGTCTGCCCCTCCATCTCCAGCGCCAACAGGCAAGCCGTCGCTACTCCTCCAAAGGGAAGATTTGAAAAGCCCGCCTCTGGCCGTCGCCGCGGAGGACGCCAACCGCCCGGCAGTACCAAGTCCCGGCCGCAGGGGAAGGGGCGCCGGGGACGCCGAGCCGGCGCGCGCACGCGCAGTGAGCGCCTGGGACCGCGGCCACGGCCGCCGCCGGAAGGGTGCGAGACCCGCGTCTCGGTGCCGGCGGGCGGGAGGTGGGGCGCTCCCGGCGGACTTAAGGCCCGGACCGAGATGTGGGCGGGGCGGCGGGGGCGGCGTCTGCGGCTGTCGCACCTGACCGGCGACCGGGCGCCGGCGTAGCCTGATGGGTTTTATGACACACCCTTTGCTCTGTGAACCTTCCGTCTGCGTCCCTCCAAGGCCCTCTAAAGTGTTTAGGAGGTGGACAGACTCTAAGCTGCAGTCCCTGCACCCCCACAGACAACTCAGAAACACACCGTGTCACTAGGAGCCCACCGTGTTGCCCCCAGAGAACCAAGTGACATTGCTTTCAAGCGTTCACTCCTCTCACACAGCACAGCCTCGTCACCCAGAGATCTTAGCTTTGTTAATCAGGTTCGTAGAACATCGTGTCAGGCATATCACAAGGTCTTGTCTTGTGTTTTGTAATCCCAGATGCTCCCTATCCACCTACTCTGTACTTTCTGGCAAAGGACGCCTTTCATATTTCTTTTCCTTCTTTCCTTCCCTTCTCTCCGTCCTTTCCTTACTTCTTTCCCCCTCTCTCCCTTTTTCCTTTCCACCCTTCTTTCCTTCCATCCCTCTCTTCCTCTCTCCTCCTTTCCCTACTTTTTTCTCCCCTCCTCTCCCCATCTGTCTGCCCCTCCTCCCCTCTCTCTCTTCACCTCCCCTCCTCTTCCTTCCTCTCCTTTCCCCTCTCCTCCCCTCCCTCCATCTCTCTAATTTCCCCACCAACATTAAAGGTGACGGCAAAATGGGTTAACTATTTCTCCAAAGCCCTTTTTTTACTGCCCCTAAAGATTAGTACAAGAATACTTTTTAATTAAAAGATTTCGTTTTGTTATTTATGATAATGAAAATGTATGGGTTTTTAAGAAATCAAAATTGAAGTGGTAAAGATTTCAGCCCCTGTAAAGTCCTTAAAATCCATTGTCCCTAGCCTATCCTAACTTTTGCTTGAAAAGACAACAGGATGCCTCTTTGAGCTTCAGACGGGTTTTTCCTGAGGGAAGTGTCTACCAAATTAAGCCACCTACCCTCACCTCCTACCCGCTTAGGCACACTTCCTCCATAAATATGGTGGCCATGTTTTTTATTTGCTGAAACAGCCCCTGGGGGGGGCGGCTGTCCCAGTGTCCAGCCCATCTTGCACTGTCTCAAAGTAGATATTAAATTGTGTGGTCTTTTATACAGACCTTTCTTTAATGAAGCTGGTTTGAAGATGTATTTTAAATACATAATAAATGCTCTTCCTCGCAAATGGGAAAATTGGCTTTTGGACTGACCACCCAGTTAGGAGTGACTGTCCACTTACGTTAAGGCCCATATCTTAACACAGAACTATAAAATATGTGGAACTCAAAATTACTAACACAGAGCTCACCTCATTCCCTACAAACACTGATACGAATTTCAGCGTCATTAGGGGCGCCTTCCCCCAGTACACACCTCTCTTACGCTCCCACTTTGTAGTTTAATTACCCCCTACTCAGCATCATAGTCATAGTACCTGAGGCATAATGGAGTTATGCATATCATCAGTGGTGAAGATTTCAGGCCCTGTAAAGTCCTTAAAATCTATTGTCCCTAGCTTATCCTAACTTCTGCTTGAAAAGGCAACAGGACGTCTCTTCATTGAGAGCGCATCATCAGACATACAGTACTTATCATACACCACAGTTCTCAGACTTAGTTCCAAATATGTGCAAGCCAGCACTTCATTAAAACAGAGGTGGGCTGGTATTGTGGCTCACGCCTGTAATCCGACCATTCTGGGAGGCTGAGGATGGATTACATGAGCCCAGACGTTCAAGGCCAGCCTGAGCAAGAGAGAGATACCGTTTCTAAACAATAGCCGGATGTTGGGCTGCACCTGTGGCTCAACGGAGTAGGGCACCAGCCCCACATACCGGAGGTGGCGGGTTCAAACCCAGTCCTGGCCAAAGAAAAAAAAATATACGGGTGTTGTGTGCCTGTAGTCACAAGTACTTGCGTGGCTGAGGCCAGGGTATTTCCCAAGTCTAAGAGTCTGAGGTTGCTGTGAGCCAGGAAGCCACTGGCACTCTACCCAGGGCAACAGAGTGAGACTCTGTCTCAAAATAACAAACAAACAAAACCAGGGGTAAGCCAACTAATTTAAAATTAGACAATGATGTAGGAATATTTAATGAATGAATGCTAGGTATATAACTGGACATGCATTTAATTATAATCCTAGAAGAAAAAGATATTTCATAATTATCTGTAGAATAAACAGTTGCTATTTTAGACCTTTCTCTTTGGAGAAGAAGATATGATGTGGCCCTATGTTTTTTGTATTAGTTGACAGATGTGCCCAGGAAGTATTACGTGCTTAACTATTTTATGGTGATTAAAATGCCTCAGTGTAGGACTTCTGTTTCCTTATGTGTCCCCAGGTCCTTTCTTGTCACTGCTGGTTTCATGAAACATAGTTTTCTCTGGTGTATGTAATGTGCATAAAAATAGAATCATCCATGGAAACTACCAAAAAGTTAGGGGTTACATGCAGTACTTTGATTAGCTTGACAGTTCATCTGTTCTTTCTATCAATCTATTTATCTAAAAGTTCCCAGAAAGTAGGAAGTATTACATTTTACCATCTCAAATGTTTGAGAGATAGCATTTGGGCATCTCTTAACTCAGTCTCCTTTGGCTCTCATAAAAGTTTGATATCCTGTCCAGACCTAGTAGTTAAGCTGAAAGTTGAGCAATGGAATTACTGTCTTACCAATATTATAATATTTCCCATTGTAAGGTCAATATTTAACATTAATTATAAAATAGATATTAGTTATGTCTAATAAAACAGATGGTGTTTAGTAATTAATAAAATAGAAAAATAAGTATTTGACATAGAGAAACCAATTTCGATAACACTAATAAATGTTAAAGTGTATTTTTCTTTTTATTTGAGTATTCCTCTCTTTGACTGCTAAAAGCCTAAAAGAAAAGAAAATACTGAACTTAAAATCAGCTTACATAATAGACTCGCTATCTTTACAAAAGGACAGGTAACTTGTGATTTCTGATATCCTCTTACTCTCTCTTAAAAAAATTCCTGTCTTCATCTGTTCATCTTGTAGATAAGGTTGTAGAAAGAACTTCATAGACTAGAGCTATATTTTGAATTATACATATATATAGATATATATAATTGCAGGTCTTGAAGCATTGGAGGGCTTTACAGAAGTGGAAGCAAGTGTTGTCTATATACAGAGGGGTGGGGGGGAATTGAGCTAAAGATGCTAAGCAGAGACAAAGCATTTTCTTAAATAAATAAGTCATAATCTACAAATAGCTGGAGCATCATATAATCATAAGGAGGATATGGAATGTGGAGTCTTAAGGGTTTGTTAGTCTTACGACCTTGGGCAAGCTACTGAGTTTTCTTATAATAATACCCATTTTGTTTTTAAAAGTTGTTGGGAGTCTCCGAAGAGATAACATTTGTGAGAGTGTTTTGTAGAGTGTTTATCCCATGGACACATGAGCCATTACTACTGTAGGAAGAACTCATCAGCACTGAAAGGCAACTACACAGAACCTGAGAGCTGAATGAGAAAAATGTATGTGAATAGTCTAGATCAAAGAAACCATAGTTATATGTAACAGCATGGCTACATCTTAGAAATCCTGAATGAAGGAAGCTAGTTACAGAAGAGTATGTAGAATATATAATCTCTGTAAATATGAATAATGAGAGAATCTAAACAAGCTATTGTTTAGGGAAACACACATAATAAAAGTTTATATCTAATGAGGAAAGAAATGCTGAAAACAAAATTCAAGCTAGTGGCCATCTCTGGGAGGAAGGGAGGAACATATGAAAGAAGACAGAACTAGCAGATATAAAGCTACTTACTGGTTGTGTTTTAATTCTTAAGTTGGGTGGTGGGTTCACAGGCACTTATTTTAATGTTTACGTGGTAACTTACATATGTATATATTACCCATATTTTGTATGTATCAAACATTTCCTAAAAAGAAATAAATTTTAAATATGATAAAACAGGTCATTGTAAATTTTAAATAATAATGTTCGGTATTTTTCTTTTAATTTTATTTGGCAAAATAACAATATACATATTTTGTCTTGTAAAATTTGACTTGACATTTGATCCATTTCCATTGCTTTTTTACTATGTGAAAGCATGAGAAGCACAGCTGGAATTCAGCAGAGTCTACATCCACAAAGAGGAAGAACTTGGCTCTGTAGATTTATTTGTGAACTCTTACATACCATCGCTGGAGAGTAGTGAGAGGCAGGGGTCCGGTAAGATTTGCTAAAGATGAGAAGTATTGTCAGCAGGTAGAGACAAAATTCAGGGCAATTTAAGTTATTACTGCTAATGTGACATAAATATTACACACAGTCCTGAGGAACTTCATGTGACATCATAATCAGAATGCTCCTTCCTGACCAAGCAAATCAAGAGAGGAGTAGCGGTAACAACTTGACTCAGTGGTCCTCAAACTGGAGCACACAAAGACTTTCCAAGGCCTAGAAATATATATAAGTATATACAGGCATGGGCAGTTTTAAGGGACTCATCGTCAAGGTCATCTACTTATGTTCCCCATCCCGAAATGACAACTTACCTGCTATCTAGACCTCCCATTGTACCCTCTTTCCCAATCACCTTTTCCTATTTCACACAACAAAAACATCACTTTCACCCATTCCTGCTGCATTGTCCCAAGGTGTAAAAATAACCTGGAGGCCAAAGGGGCAATTAAAACTATTGGTGTTGCTTTT